ATGGTCATGCATACGGGATTAAGAATTACATAACTTTTAAAATAAATTACCCAGTACTTTTTAAAATTTTCTAAGTAATTTTAATTATTCTTAAAAAATATTCTAAGACTTAAATAACTTGTAAAATTATTATTTTTCCGTTATGCATGTAGTCAGTCCATGATAGTCCATCTCCTAATCAATACATATATCTACATAGGTAGTTATATTATCAATTTTGCACCTATGTTATCAATTTTTGCGCAAGTGAATTTTTACTTGTAAGATATTTTTAGCAGTTGGGTTTGTACCGGTTGTTAAACTGATCGTGAGATAACAATTATTACAGCATAAATCATGATTACATTCACAAGTGCATAGATAACAGTACTTTTATATGAGAAATACCAATTAATTAGAACAGAAAAATATTTTAAGATAGAAAAAAAACTATCAATCAAAAAAAGTTAAAAAGATAAATAAACAAAAGTAATTTAATTTTAGCAAAAAATATATGACGATTTTTTTATATGAATATTCATTATTTATTTATTGAAAAATTTCGAAATAAACAATTTGTCTATTGAAAAATAATAATAAACAAAGTAGATTTGCATTAAAATGTAGTAAAAAAAGAATGAAAAAAGTTTTTTTTGGAAAACAATTTGGTAAATTAAAAAATATGTTAACAGAAAAGGAATAAAACAAATTAAATTACCTTAAAATAAATGCACTGTATCACAATACACGTTCTTAAAATGTTTCTTCACAAGTTCATGTTATGTTATTATGTAATAAATGTGTGTTAGTAACTATGTGTGAAGAATGCACACAAATAAACTTGTTTCACCATTCAAGAAATTTAAAACGGACTTGTCGATCCCATGGGTGAATTGCAATTGGTACACCAATGACGACTTTCCAAGGTTAATGTTGACTATTCGTCTGATATCAAGAAACGCTAAACAACACACACATAATGTTTACAACTTAATTATCATTAAACTTTTATATTTGTGAGGAATTCCACATTCTCGATATTACGCTTTTTATTTAAAGCAAAATAGGGTAAATACGTAGGCAGCTCAATATTTAGCTGCTGAATGGGTTGCCTAAAGCAATTACAAAATATTAGTTAAATGGAAATTCAAATTTTTAATTAGGCAACCCTTTATTATGCTTTGATTACTCAAATTGAAGTTTGCATAACTTGGTCACCATAAACTCATTTAAGATAAATATAAGCGGCAAAAGTTTAAATTTCTTTTGTTTTTAAGTTTTAGTTTTGTTAAGCATTTTACTGCATAATTATAAAATAAGATTTACTTACAATAGGTTACTATTAGTAATACAACAAAATTTGTTTAAATATTTAGTGATCTCATAAGTGCAAAGGTCGTTAAGTAAACGAAATATTTTAAAGGAGTGGCTCTCATTTTTAAACCACTCAATTAAAAACATTTTTTGATTATTGAATTAATAAGATGCATTTAATTACCCTATAACATTCCAGTCAGTAGTTAAAAATAAGCGCGATTTTTAAAAATTTACTCTGTTCCTTGTTATAAACTAAAAACACTCCATCCACATAAACATTCACGGTCACATATCCTGCACAGCCGTGTTTTGGCTACTTCAGAGTATGGATTGCGAAGGCCAAGGTCATAGGTACAGTGCGATTCCACCAACACTTTGAATATCTTGCGCTATTCCACCAAGACCAATACTAACCCATGATTTTCCTAAACGGAAATAAAAAACTTAATAGACCTTTTTATACGGTTCTTAACTAATTTTAAATGTCCTAAATTAATTTACTGACTTTTACTCGCAATTTAGTCAGCATGAATCATATTTTAATATTGTTAATTTTAGTTTTAGTTGTTTATAATAAATACGATTGTTGTAATCAAAAAGCAATTAAATATTTGTCTAGATCACTTCTGGTAGTTATTTCGTTATTATAGTAACAATTAGTAGAATGAAGAGACTGGATTTCCGGATTGCAACTGTGTCGTGTTGATGAAATTTCCATGATGGATTATGGTGGCGTCAAAAATTATTACAAGGGACATCTTTAGGAACTTCACATTGTCTATGTAGGATCTTCAACGCTGTTGTTGAGCAGTTGAAATTTCGAGCACTATCAATGTCACTATCATTCATCATGAAGATTTTATCAATAAGACAGTTTCTTCAGACGACAGCCGTGAAAGCCTAATACAATTTCTAATCTAGAAGATTAAAGTGCTAGTTACGAAATAGTCAAAAGTATCTGCGAATGTAATAAAAAATGTGTTGATTATTGTTACTTCCAGCGACTAAATATTCCATGAGATAGCAAAGAGTTTATTATAAAATTTATAAATTCCCCCATTCTGATATTACTAAAATTGTAATAACTGCATTGCGTGTAATTATTTACACTTGTAAATGAGAGTGCTGTAGGGCTCTAATCATTGTTAAATCGTTCGTTAAAACGGTATAATTAATTGTTGATACATTTAATTTGCAACCAGTTCAATACGAATTAGCTAGAAATTAATTTAATTTGCTTCACTTGGAGAATGACATGATTGTTCATTCTCGTACCGTCACATTTTCGCATTGTCCCCGTGCGTTTTGTACATATCTCTGCAAACATCTGGGACACATATTGTACTAATATGAATGTCTATTCCAGGTATTTGTAAACAATAGGATATTATTTACAATCATGGTCCCCGACATGTTGTTTCAGGAACCTGTGGGGAAGTGAGATTTCCTCACAAGAATTATGCATTGTATAATAAGGAAATTATTTTGTTCATAACTAGCATAAAATAAACACAATGTTAAAGTTAAAACATAATATTTATTGATCAAAATAATTATTAAGGATTCATGAGTCTTGAAGAAATTCAAGTATATAACAAGAGTAAATATTAATCTTTCAGATTTCAGTTGTGTCGAACTTATTTTGTGACTATGTTTTGTAAAATTTCTTTCTCAGGGCAGGCCAGACCTGTATTGAACTTCTTTTTTCTTCAATCATACATTTCCTTATAAACTGATGTATGTAAGAAATGTTGAGT